TCCATCCACTTCAATTGCCTGGAGATATCACAGTAACAGTATTAACTACAAAGAAAGGAGTCTGTCACTGCAAGGGAGATGAGATTGTGATGTCACAGCAGGACTGTTCCCAACAGCCAGGCCATTCCCACCCAGCAGTGGGGCATGGGGTCTCCAGGAGTCAATCCAGAGCACTGCATTCACCAGATCAGAGTCATCTGTAACCATACCATGCACAGAACACAACCCAAAATGCAATTTGAAAACAAAAAGTGGAAAAAAAAACATCTTTGGAGAGCAGCACCGAAATATTGGAAGCTAATTCTGTGCTTCTCCTCGAGGCTGAACTGTAAAAGGTTTGGTGAGGCTGCCAGCAGAGTTCCTCAAGTGACCCCAAACCCAGCCTGAGCACCAGGATCTGTCATCCAAACCCCTCAGCACTGCAGGCCAGGAGGACACAAATCATTCTGTCAGACCTGGGTGAGCTCCTCCAGCCTTCAGTCAGCTTCCTGTGCTCTTTGTGTGCCAGTGAAGAGCCCACAGCTTGCTCCTGGCTCTCTCTGTGCCTTCATACAAAAGTTTCCTCCTGACTCATATTTGCTTCTCATCTGGAGCTGGGGCTGGATAATTCAACACATTGCTCCTTCCTGGGGTTAAATTTTCCCCCAATAGCTGACACATTAATTACATTTACTGAAATGCCTACACTGAGATCAATCTGTTGAGTTTCCAGGACTGAAATACTTAAAATTGTCTTTCCTTAACAACTGCATTTAAAACAAAAACCAAACCAAATAAACAAACCCCACATCACCACCAACAAAAATAAAGCTTTTAAGCATACAGACCTATCAGTTTTTATCTTACAAAGATGAAATACAGCCAAATGTGTGACAGAAGTATCTATGGGTTAGATACCATGGATAAACATCACTGACTTCTGTCACTTTTCTTCACACCTTTTTTCCAACATGGGTCAGTGAAGACATGCCTTGACCTTTTTGAAATTTGTGGTGAGCAAGAAAGGAACAAAAACCCAACAAAATATCCTAAGTCCTGGAAAATACCCCAAAACTTGAAAAATACTGCAAAAAGAGAGACAGCACTTTTTACATAGTTTACAGTCACAATTTCTCTAGAAATTGTTTACACTGATGGCATAAGAACAGTGGACGTTTAACATGCTTTAAGTATGCTGAGGATAAATGATTATCTGTGTTTTCCATATCCAGATGGCTGCTTGCTAGAACCTAAGGAAATAAGAAAGGGGACAATGAAAGTGCTAAACTCATAAAAATCTGAAAGTCTCTAAAGGAACACATTCTGAGAAAAAGTCACTGTGATTTGCCACTTCCTCCCTCAGCCAGCTCTCACAGGCCCTGAGAGCCCAACAAGCCATGGCATGGTCTGTTCAGGATCATGGACAGGAGTCCCCTAGTCCCCCCACTCTGCAAAATCCCAACAAAAACAACCTAAGGAACGAAGGAGAGAAGGAAGGAAAGAAGTGTGAGCCCCCACTAGCTGTTACAGAACATCCTTCTTCTCTGCTCCAGGTAACCTGGTTTAAAAACCATTTACATGTCCAAGTTTTTAACCCTACAGCTGAAGCTGCCTGAGAAAGGGACTCAGGGAGAAGAAAAGCTGCTGTAAAACATCTCCTCCCCTGTCCCCCACAAAATCGGGGTACTACACATCAAACCCATACACTGCAGTGACAGGAGTGTGCATT